AGAGCTGCTCCAGCCCTCGGATCATCCTGGTGGCTTCCTCTGGACTTGCTCTCTGCCTTCCTCGCTCTGTCTGCTCCTGTGCAGTTGTTGGCTAGACACCCATTTTCACCACCACTCCCCTGCCCTCCTGGCTCCTGCAAGAACATGGTGACATGCTGGTGAGCCTGCTGCAGTGCCCAGCTCACTCTGGCGCTGCTCCTGTGCAGGATTTGCAAGCTTGCCGTTTGCTTGGGCATGACTGTGGTGCCCACCACAGCCTCAAGTGCAACTGCACCCTTACTGAGTGCCCTTTACAGGTGATGTGACGATGGAAAACAGACCTGCGCCTTGGCAGACGTCAGGATTGCTCTGTTCTGTGGCTTTTCATACAGCGCTTGAACCAAGCCAGAACAAAGCGAAGCAGCAATCCCTGCAGCAGTTCAGGCTCCCTCTCCGGCCCTCCTGGCAGCTGCCAGCAATGCTTCCCTCCCTTTCAGAGCTGTTTCTTCTCAGAGGAGGGAGGTGATGTGGCGCCCTTTCCCTGGGAGGGGAATGGAGGTCCCCGAGCCAGTGGCAGGATGTTTGGCACAGGAGGGAGCCTTGCTCATCAGCCTGGATTAGTTTTAACTCGCTACTTACACAGATTATTTTGGTTTATGTAGATATCTAGACATTTCTACCAAAGATTCCCATGGGTTCCCACTTTGGCAGGTTTCATGAGTATCAAATTTACATGAAGAGAAAAATATCTATAATTGAGAAGTAGAATGAACACTGTCCTTTAAAATTTCTTCTCATTCTTGTTATTTTATGTGTCCTTTAAATCAAGGCTTGGTGCCCTTAATTATGTAATATATAATAGTTGGCCTCAGCCTAATGTGACGTTATTGAATCCAAGAATGACGTGGAAAAAAAAAAAAAGATGTGTGCAACCAACGTACTGTTGTCAAAGTGAGGAAAGCCTGATGAGAAATCCTGCTGGGGAAAAAAATCACATCGGGGACTGAGAGAGATCCTTCTCCACCCTCCTCCCCCCACCCAGCAACAGAAGGTATCAAAAATTGAGCCTGATGAAAAGGACAACGTTTCTCTCGCTTTCCTTTTTCTGATCTTTTTGTAGCCCAGAGTGCTAATCAACCTGTCAATCTCTTAATTAAAGAACAGCAGTGTCAGTGCTCGCTGAATGTTAACTAGTAAAGGGCATTTCGTGCCCAGCAGTGCCAGCAAGGAGCTGTGTCAGGAGATAGGCTCAGGCACAGGGGAGGGGGTCCGATGGGCTGATGAGCGTTTCTGAGCCTGAGACAGCATCTGCTCAGGGATTGCTAATGGAAAGAAGGAGCAGGGCAGACTGGGAGGTGTAACGTGCTGCAGCTCGTGGGGCCGTGCCCTTCCTTGGTGTGTTGGTGCTCTCAACAGCATTTCTTTCATGACACTAGTAAAAACCCTTTGGTTCCTCCTGGTTCCTTATTACAGAGAGTGGTGGGCACCTGTAGCCTAGTTGGGGAGCTGATGATCAATGTTTCTGTAGCAGCAACAGCAGTAGAAGAGCTGACCCTCTACTGCAACAGTGGGGATTAACCCTACGACTTTGTATGCCATTCTAGCGCTGGCAAGCTCAAGGGAGCATGAAGCACATGTCCAACCTAGATCTGGGTGACCTTCTGCTCCCATTACTGCACACTAAATAGTTGGACTCTGCCTGTGACTGCAGGAAGAAGAGGAGTCAGCTTTCTTTTTGCTGCCCTTTGTATGTAGCAGGATGCAGAGTGCAAAGTCTTGATGCAGGCTGCAGGGGGCTGAGGTTTTTATTATAGGCTTACAGGATAGCTCAGGTTGGAAGAGACCTCAGGAGGTCATCTAGTCTTCTCTTGGCCGTTTTGCTGCTATTCTCTACTAAAGTCAGTAGGACATCTGCCAGCTTAGAGTAGCTAGAAGTTCAGCCTCTTCCTTTTTTAGCAGTATTTCCCTTAACTTACAGAAGGATATAGATGATCTAGCCTCTCTAGGAGTTGCTTGGAAAAAAAATAGAAAAGGAGAAGAAAATTTTATCCTAGTTTTGTATAGGATCAGAGGAATCCAGGCCCAGAACTGGCTTTGGAGAAGGACTGGGAGAGGCATTGTGGAAAGCCTGCCTCAAGCCAGGACCAAGTATTGAGGCATGCTGGGGAAGTCAAGTTAGCAGTGGAGCAGAAAAGCAAACGCTTCCCTCCTTGCCCACCACCTGCAACTCGCCGGATGAGCCTCCCAGTAGGGAAGCTCCACCAGCAGAAGACAGTTCATGCTGTTCCAAGACTGTGTCCGGAAAAAAATGGCTTTCAAGGTCCATCGCATCTGCTGTAGGAGGTTCTAGCGGCAGAAGGATGCTGGTGCATTGCGATAGCAGCCGAGGGCTTGGAGGAACAGGCGGGGCCATGGAGATGCTGCTCTTGAGGGAGGAAGGCTGGCCAGCCATGTACTAGTCCAAAACTATTTGCAATATATATTTCCAGTTTTGCTAACCCAACATTGGAAATCATCTATTTCTAGCCTATAGACTGTATATATAAATTGTTTTCCCAACATAAAAAATGCAATACAAATCCTATCACTTCAGATATAAATATTTTTGGTTTATGTTGCTCGCAGGGACTACACAGTTTGGATTCAGCTAATCAAGTAGAAGTGTTTACAGAGTCCTCTGTGTGTCCTCAGGCTTGAGATGCTACCACAGGAGTAAAAGACAAAACTGGCTTTCTATTTTTAGCAGACAGCCTCTTCTAGGCTCGCCCCCTCTTTAAAAACCTCCCATCCATAGGCTCGTGTGAATCTTTCTTTGCATAAGCTCATGTTAAACCAGGAAAGCCCACAATTTCTGGAGACCGTGTCTTTTCTTCAGAGGCTTTTTGTTCAAGGGCTTGTGTATCCCCGAGCTGTCGCAGCAGCGCACAGTCCCCAGTTTCTGGCCAGGAGGTAGCACAGCTGAAGTCAGACCCTTCCACCACACTCTTGAGACATTGCATGATGCACGGCTCATCCCTCCTGGGAACAACCCTCTGTGATCCCTGGAATTTATCCCTAATTACGTCTTCAGATACCCCAGCCAGAGAAGTGAGATCGAGAGGTGGATAAATACCTCGCTGAGGTGATTTGAAAGTCTGTGCTGCAGGATGATGATGCAGTGACTTAATGAAGTTGCTGTTGTCACAGGGCCCAGGGACTCAGGCAGTTGTTTCCAGTCCATGCCAAGAGGTTAATTACACATTTACCTGAACAGCAGTCTGAAATCCTCACCAAGAAATTAGGAGTGGGGATGACTTTCAGTTGCTTTGGCACCTACAAGTGTAAGCAGTACCAGAAAAGCGTGTCTGTCTAGATGCCCCCTGTAGCTGGCTGAACCTTTACAAGCTGTTTGCTGAGATTTTGTGATGGTCTTGTCCCAGAAATTGGTTCTAGTTTGGCATCAAAGCCAGAACTGCACTAGTTTCAGAGCCAAGAAGAAAAACAGAAAGCTTTGCTCTCACTTACTCCTGAATCCCGCTCCTTACCTTTTAGCTGAAGTCATCCTGATTCCTTCTGTGAGGTTGCAGACACGCTGAGATGCCTACAGGGCAGGCGCTGGTGAATTCACCCATTTTTAATAAATAGTTTTTAATTAACTTTTTAAAAAGTCCAGCTCATCCCAATTAGTGGAGGGTGACTGCATTTGTTCTCTCGGAGAGTGGGAGAGAGAGCACTGTGTTTTCAAGACCATCTGCTCATGAATCCTTAAAAAAAAATTGGGGAGGAAAACAAGCGTTAGCCGGAGGCAGAGAAAGGGTGAGGGCATTCTGGCAGCCGGCTGGGGAGGCCTTGCCAGCTGGGGGGGCCGGAGGCTGCCAGAGGAGCTGGGATGGTCCTGACTGATTTTTTGGAGATGGGGAGCTCTAATGAGCTATGGGAGAAGGGACTGTAATTGCCTGAATGAGTGGGAAGAGAGGTGACAATCTGGAGGGGTGAATTTTGGCAGCCTCGCGGGTGGGGGAATTGATATCCCGGTGTAGCTGGCTTTGGCTGCTCGCCCGAGAGCTCGGGAGGGGATGTGTGTTGGGATGGTGTTTTAAAGGGATGAGGTGCCAGGGAATTTGCTACCCTGAATCCAAGGCGTGGGCCTGAGGAAGGGGCTTTGCTTTCAGGATGCCACTGGCATCCACGGTCTGGTGCTACCTGGAGAGGGGGCAACAGGGACGCTGTCTGGAGCAGCGGTTCTGTTTCTTTCATCATTGCAGCATGAACCATAATGACCCTGCTTCAAGCATCCCCACTCTCCCTTCATTTATTTCCCTTCCTTCAAAATTATGCTCTGTCTCCGGTTTCTGGTCTGAAGTCAGACAGGGTGGCTTTGAGAGTTGTAGAAGGGCAAAAATCTTACTTAATTATCGCTCCGTCCTGCAAAGGGAAACTGCCCTGGCTAGGAGGTTCACTCAGCCTTGTTCTCTGCCCTCTAGGGAGATGATATCTTGGACCGCAGCTCAGAGTTGATCTACACGGGAGAGATGTCCTGGATTTACCAGCCTTATGGACGGAACCAGCAGCGTGTTTTCTTTCTCTTTGATCACCAGATGGTTCTCTGCAAGAAGGTAAGGACATCCAGGGAGAAAGCAGCACGGCTAAGGACATGCTGCGGACAGGCTTTCCAGTCCAAAGTGGTTTTTAGGGCAAGGTGGCTGTTTGCTACACGTGCGGAAGAGGACATGGATAGCACCGAGAAAGGGCAATCAACATGCTAGAAATACTGAGTTACAGGATGGTGAGTATGCTGTGAGAGAGAGATTTTATGCTCGTAGCCAGTCCAGCCTCCACTTGTTCATTTCATGCCTTTTTCTGGTGTGCCCCTTGTTTGGCTTGTTGCCTCGCTTCTACTTTTGGGTTTTGGCTGCAGCATATGATCTGGGATTAGGTAGCCCTAGAATTCTGTATGAACCATGAAACCTGGTACTTGGGCAGACAGCTCTATTACTGCATTAAAATGATACTCATGGTCTCTTGAAGAAATACCAGGCAGCAGCCTGGCCTGTAGCAGGGTATATGTGCTGTTACTTGGTGAAATGCTTCTTAAAACTCATCCTCATGTAGCTGCTCTGCTGGTTTTTATAAGGTGTATCTCTGCCTTGAACCCATCGTGAAGGTAGAAGGCAGCTGTGAAGAATACAGATGCTGATTTGTTGTGGTATTAATAGCAGCAGGTGAACTGTGTTTTGGAGCAGCTGTGTTAAGTGGTAGCATCGGAGCTGTGTTGCTGTAGCCAAGCCCGCTAAGGCAATCCCAGCTCATTACCATCACAACTGTTTGAAGTGAAGTGACAAAGCGCGTAAGTCCTGGGTGTCTCTGTCTCCTGACAGATGGGGATTCGTTGACATTTTCACTGCAGCTACACAGATAACAGTGCAGAGGGAGTCCCCTGGACCAGCTTCAAGTAGGAGCAAGGACGAACTGCAGACGTCTCCAGCCAGACACACCAGGGCTGTGTTCCTCTGACATCTCAGATGCTGAGGAAAGGTTGAGCAAGACCTGCGTGGCGTCGCAGGCCTCTGAGGAGTGCCCTGCCGCTGCAGGAAGCGGTGTGGGTGGGGGCGTGGGTGGCTCCTGACTCACCGCGGCATCGCTGCCGCCGTGCGCAGAGCTGCGGCCTGTGCCGTTCAGTAGTGGGTGGCACTTTCTTCTCCTGAGTCATGGTTGACTGAAATTTTGCCTTCTGCAATGTTTGTGCTTATTTTTTTCCCCTCCTTATTGCTGTGTCTTTTATTTCTTTCCTGGCTCTGTAAAAAAACCCCCGAAAACAACCAAACCACAGAACAACAATAACAAAGTCAGATGGTCAGAGAACTGTCATAATGATTCTGGAAGTATGCAGCTGGGATTAATTTTTAATCTTGACCTCCTATACTTTGATTGTGACTCTGAATTTCCGATTTATAAGGCAGCATCCAGTTTGGCTTGTGCTGGCTCTGATCCAGAGAGGTATCGAGCATTCCCTTAACTCCTGGGAAAATCAGAGCTGGGATTTCTGTAGTCATCTGTATGAGCAGAGCACGTTCAGCAATTCAGAGCCGGCTGCTGAGGGCTCGACAGGTTGTATCAGTATGCAAACGGTGTGACAGTGTGACACTGTCCTCTTCCCTTACGTATTCAAAAGGCATTTTGTGGTGTGTGAGTGGCAGTGCTGCACAAGAGATGCCTTCATGGGAAAACGCCCTGCAGATTTTCGCTGTCTCAGAGACAGCACAGTGGTCTGGGTCTTGGCAGAGAGATTGACTCTGTGTCAGGATCTAGCAGGCTCTTCTGCCACTAGCCAAGGTCCTGGGGGACAGTGTCCCCACTGAGCTTTAAGGTGACAGAGCAGATGGTGGTAATTCACACTGGTGAGCCCAATATCATGGGCACAGGGTTCACACCTTGTTGTAGGTTCTCCTTCTGCATTTCTTTTTCCAGAATCAAACTGCAGTTGTTGCTCTTCAGCGTGTTGGGGTAGGAGAGGAGATGGGGTTACAGCTGGACTCTCCCATCTTGAGAACGTTTTCCTTGGACATTGTTAAGAAAGATTGTCTGAGTATGGAATTCAGAGGAGTGCTGGCTCGCATTTCAGGATCACACATCCTATATAAAATAAATCTGAATGATTTATATCCTGTGTTGCCTTGACCCTTGTGTCAGGCTTTGCTGTTACAGATCCCAGCAGGTAACCATCTAGGAGTATGACCTCTGCTTTAGAGCCAGAGCACTATCTCCTGGGGCTTTCTTAGTAAAGCACCATTTATATAGACTATATATATTTATATCATGATGTGGGAAGCTGGGACCAGCCTTCTTTACCCAGTGCTTTAAAATTATTCTCTGAGGGATATGAAGTATGCCCTACCCATCCCCAAGAGCAAGGAGAAGACAGCAGAGCTGTGGGGGTGCTGGTGCTCCAGCTCCACCTGGCCAGCACTGGGCAGAGCACCATGTCCTGGGTCACCTGCAGCACAGCCTGGTGCCAGGCATGGGCGTTCAAGTGCTTGAGCGTGGCGTGAGCTTCCAGTTTCATGTCGCACTTGAACAAACCCTCGGGGAATTGTAGTTATCTGAGTCCAGAAGGGAAAGTTTGAGATTTCCAGAAGGTCTCAGAGTTCAGACTGGTCCAGGGCTGGCAGCTCCTCTGCCTTGTGTACAGGGAGAATTAAGTCTTTTAGAGGTTTCCAGAGCAGCAGATTGAACAGCACCCCTTATTCCAGACACGGGCAATGAGAAAGTTCATGGACAACCTGACCTGTGTTTTGTGTCAGGTTTAGTCAGTCAGCGTTCAGCTTTGGTACCGCTTACGATAGCACATCTCAGTGACTCTTCCTCTTCAGGAAATCTTCTGCATATGTGGGTTTTCCTCAGATACAATAAATTATGATACATTCTTAATCATGACATGGTCTATTTGAGAATACATTTATTTTTGAATTATAATGGCTGAATTTTACCTCTTTATTGATCAATAGGGATTTTTAATAGAAATAAGGAACTAAAACCAATTTCTTATTTAAATGTGTCATAGATACTTTAGTTTGATGAAAGCATGCTAGATATCCTGAGAGGCCCTAGAAGACAAGAATATATTTCAAACAAGATCTCCCACTCCTCCAGATCCTCATTGCAGTTATCTGCATGTCATCCTCACCTTCATCACCTGTTGTCTCCCTGGTAGATGCTTGCAGCTGCAACAGCTCTGTGCTGTTGAACCCCCTAGTAATGCACCTGGATTCTGGGGTTTGACAGATACTGATACGTGAGTTTCCGATGGAACAGGTAGAGTTTGAGATGATAAGCTCTGTGACAGTTTTGGATGTTGGTATTCTCTGTCATCCCCTTTGAACTGCATCATCTGCAAAACTCGTTGCACAGTGGGCTCGCCAAGCTGGGTTAACTTTCAGCCATTGGATTAATGTCAAACTCTCCTAATGGATTTTCTGCCTGTGTTTCCTGCACCAGAGCTGGGACATGGCAGTGTGCATGAGGACAAAGCAGTGCTTTCTTCTGAAGAAACTGTCGGTTGGTTACCCTAATACAAAAATGCCTTTTGGAAAGGAAGGAGGTAATAAACTGTGTAGGAAGCAAGCACTGGCCTCAGTTTGCCTTACCATATGTCTATAACCAGGAAACAAGAATCCGTGTTCCAGTACGCTCACTGTAATTACCAAGAAATGAAGTCAGTCCTTGATGATGGTAGCATTAAAAGATGTTGCCTTAAAGGCATAAGGTCTACTTTTCTTATCACCCTGAAGTTGAGAGAGTTTGACACAGAGATGCTTTAAATTTGCAAATCATAGTACTTATCATCTAGGACTGTGACACGTGGTGTTAATTATGATCATAGCTTGTTACGTTGGGGGATGCTCGAAGTGCTTATGTGATAGATGAGGATGTTCTTTTTTTCTGTTCTGGGTAATAGTTTGGATTTCCCCAATGGACTTGAAAGTGCTCTGGTGTTAGGCTGGAGTGAAGGGTTAACAGAGTTTCTGCACCAATTTATGCTTTCCTTTCACCAAGAGCCGAACAGTCCCTGATGGGGCTCTGTGTTTAGTGTCTTCTGACAGCGCAGAAAGATCGGTGACTACGTGAAACACATTTAGTTTGCAATTGCACTTTTTATGTGTCTCTTGTAATCAAGAGGCAATGCGAACTCCAGCTTGTGGTTTATTGCTATTGCTGTCTTCCCTTGAGCTCTGAGAGCAGAGCAGGTTGGATGAGAAGCAAAATGAGACCAGTTCAATAGCAATAGCCAGACAGTCAGAAATAGCTGTGCTATAGGAGATAGAGTAAATAAAATAATCCTGTCAAACTCCATTGCTGTTCATGTTTCCAAATGGGAAGATAAAAGAGACATTTCTGAGCCCTTTTAGTGTAAGGTCTACTTCCCATATTGCTTCTGATAGAAACATTGAGGTAATCTTTGCACCAAAACAACAGCCCTGCTTTTATTACTGGCTAAATAGGTCTCACAGGACCAGCCCAAAATCTTGTTTGCAAACACAGAGCAGCACCGGGACAATTCTTATTACTTCAAGTGGTTTTTTGACCCAGAAGGAACACTTGGACTTTTGCAGCTCCTCCCACCCCTTCTCTTTTCCTCCTAGTAACGCAGGTCTCCATTAAATGCCATGTTTTGGGTCAGGCCTGGGCTCAGCCTGCAGCAGGGTGGGAAAATGGGTCAGGCTGGGTGGCACTGGTTTCAAACAGCAGCTCGGTAGCGACTCGGTGGTGTGCTGCACCGACAGGCAAGGCGTGCTGCTGTGGGAGCTCGGGACGTAGCATAAGATGGGCATGCAGATGACCAAAAAAACCCACACTGGCCTGGTCACAGCCCCAAAGCAAAGTGTAAGATGAGGTTTTTAAGGAACAGTGTTTCCTTAAAACTGTGTTTCCACGGCCCCACTGACGTAGCCCTGTGTTCCTGCCCAGCTGATCAGTCAGGGCTGTCTGTGGACAAGAGGTTGCTGTGGGTCCAGGCTGTAGAGCATGGCAGGGAAGTTGCCCCTCATTACAAGAAGGACATTGTGGCACTGGAGCATGTCCAGAGAAGGGCAAGGAAGCTGGTGAAGGGGCTAGAGTA